GGACAGACAAGTCCAAGGTAGACCTTTTTGGCCTCAATGAGAAATATTACGTTTGGCGAAAACCAAACACTGCTTTCGAACAGAAGAACCTCATCCCAACTGTCAAGTGTTGTGGTGGGAATGTGATGGTTTGGGGCTGCTTTGCTGCCTCAGAACCTGGATGGCTTGCCATGATTGACCACTATGAATTCTGCATTGTATCAGAAGATTCTAGGGGAGAATGTCAGGCCATCTGTCCATGAGCTGAAGCTGAAGCAAAAGTGGATTTTTCAGCAAGACAATGATCCTAAACATACAAGCAGATCTACAAAAGAATGGCTGCAGAAGAAATTCTGAGATTTACAATGGCCTAGTCAAATTACAAACATAAACCGCATCGAAATGTTGTGGCAGAACCTGAAGCGAGCTGTCCATTCAAGGAAACCCTCAAATATCACCGATTTTAAGGAGTTCTGTAAGGAGGAATGGGCCAAAATTCCTCAAATCCGATGTGAGAGACTGACCAATGATTACAGGAAATGCTTAGTTGCAGTCACTACTGCTCTAGGGGGTGTCACCAGTTACTGAATCTAAAGGTTCACATACTTTTTCACACATGGTTATTGAATGTAGGAATCATGAGGAAAATTACAAGTTTAAAGAGTATTATGGTTTCGTGTCATTTGTTTAATCAGGTTATCTGTATCTATTATTATGACATAGATTACGATATAATAACATTTTAGGTTTGAAATATGTAAAATGTGAAAATCCTAAGGGGTTCACAAACTTTTCTTTGGCACTGTATGTTGTGTAAGAGCTCTGACCCGCCTTCCTTTAAGATTTCCGCTGGAATCCCATCAGGACCAGCGGCCTTGTTATTTCTCATCTTCTTCCATGTCCTCCTTTATGGGTCGCTGATGAATTTGCTCAATGACCTCCATATCAGTGTTCTCTCCACTGAAATTTGATTCATCCACGATCCTTCAGCAGCTTTTGTCCATCGTTGGAGCTAAGGGGGTTTAGGCCACGGTAACTGGGTCCGTATGTTGCCTTGGCGGCGTCAAAGATGCCTCTGGTATTGCCAGTGTTTGGCAGCTGCTGGCTCTCCGGTGCTCTCCCTGTCCACCATTTTGCTTTTAAGTTCCCACACCCGGCGTTGGACATCCACCTTCAATCTGGTGTAAGTCTCTATTTTGGCCTTGCAGTTTATGTCATTCTGCCAGGCACAAAAGGTTCTTCATTTTGTGCCGATGAGCTGTTCGATTTCAGTGTCACTCATCAAACCAGTCCTTGTGCTTTTGATCTTAGAGCCAATTGTATTCTTGCAGGTGTTGAGGATAGTGGACTTGAGCATGCTCCAGTGGTGTTTTGATATGATCAGGATATTCTTGGGGAGTTCTTCACCAAGAACAGTCTGGAGGTGTTGTATTCTTGGTTCTTTCAGTGGAAGTGTTGTAGTTTGCTGGTATCACTCAGATTCTCAGTCTAATGGACATAATGCAGCGGATGAGGTGATGGTCTGTCCACCAGTCGTCTGCACTTGTCATCACTCTTGTGATATTTACATTATGAAAATCCTTAGCTCGGACAATGACAGTTCACGAGATGCCAGAGTTTGGAGCAGGGATGCATCCAGGATGTTTAGAATTTGTTTTTCTGATGGGAGTCGTGTTGATGATGATGAGGTCAAGCTACACACATTTGGTAAGTAGTAGAACTCCATTTGAGTTAATATTGCCCACACCTTCCTTTCCAATCGTGCCACTCCAAAGGTTGTGGTCCCAACCAACCCTGGCATTAAAATCCCCAAGAAGAATGATCTTGTCTTCCTTAGGAATACATTAGAATATTATAGCCAAGTTAGCATCGAAGGTATCCTTTACTTCTTCCTGTGAGTCCAGAGTTGGGGCATAAGCACTCAACTGTGGCCATTTGGTTGTTTGTAAGCTGCAGACGAATGGTCACGAGGTATTCACTGATGCCCACAGGGAGTTCGGAGAGGTGGCTGATGAGCCTGTTCTTAATAATAAAACCAACTCCATGGTTCCTGGGTTCATCAGCTAGTTTAATTTTCCAGAAGGTGTAGCTGCCTTTCTCTTTCAGTTGCCCTTCATCTGCCAGTCAGATTTCGGAGAGCGCAGCAAGATCATGAAGATCACAGTTAATTTCACAGGTTTATCACTTGTTGCACTGTCCATCCGGATTCACACGTTATAGGCTCCAAAAATCATTTTTCTTTGTTTCTGACCGCAAAGAGGTGATCCCACTGGATGCGCTAATCCAGTCAAGAGTTATGAGGCAGGCAATTTTCTAGCCCCTTCCCATGTTGGGCTGGACAGAGCGGTTCCTAAAAAGGGCTGCTCAGTCATGGGTGCAGCTGCCAAAAAGCTCTATCTGCCTCTGACCACGAGCAAGACGACGGACTCAAACACCCACCCATTGTGTGCTAGTTCCTGGCTATGAGCTAACAGACTATCACTAACTGCTCCCGTCACCAATTCGCTGATCACCACAGGACTTTGATCCGGGATGTGCAAGAGTTTGTTCCCTTTCAGGAGGATGTCTGCGCATGCGATCTTTTACCATGGGGTGACTGATGCACAAGCAGCTACCACATGGTCCTTGGCAGAGAGGGTCCAATGGCATGGAGACCATAACGATTGGTGACCTCTTTCTGCTGCAGCCTTCCTCCGCCTTCATAACCATGGTAACTTTCGTAATTTTTCACCTGCTCCATCGTTGAGGTCTTTGTTGGACTCCTACCAGGCACCTCAAGAGCTACCTAACGTCATCAAAGAGGAAATTACTAGTGAAGGGCTCCTCGCCGGGGCTTGAGTCATGAGAGCATTCACTCTCCTTCGTGATTCTTGTACTTTTCGATGAAGTGGGGTTCTCATCGGACACCTCCTCACCAGGGCTCTTCCATGGAGGTTTGGAGGGTAAGGGCAATTCCTGGGCCACCACGGCCCAGCTCTTAACCCCCCAAACTGCCTGGACAATCTCAGGAGGAAAATTATGTCTCCCAAGGTTTCCCTATTATCAGAGAGATATCTCCTGGGCCCTCTGAAGGTCTGCCACTGCTTAAGCCCCCTCAGATTCAGAGGCATTTTCCATGGGCTCCTTTACTTCAGAGTCCCACTCTCCATGGAAAAACTCGTCAGAGCTGTAGTGCTCCAGGGGGTGCTTGCACGCCTTACACCTTCATGACAGGGCTACCCTCGTGGCCCTGGCCTACTTAGCTGGGGTGGCCAACTGCTGCTTCCTCACCCCCGACATGAGTTCCGAGTTGGCAGTGTGGTTGTGAATGGGTGTGCATCAGCTTGGTGAGGCAGGCGGGTAACTCCTGAGGATTCCCAACCACATTTGTCTCCTCCATGTTGCAATGGAGGGGCCTCCTTCTGGTTATGGCCAACTGGGGCTGTCGGGATCCCAGCGGGACTGGCCGTTGGCCATGCTAATGTTTTGCTCCCTGTCTGGACATCACAGACCCTGGGCTTTCCTGAGAAGCCTGCCACACCGGGTTGTGGAGGACCCCGCGTTAGTCGGGGACTGCCTGTAACGTGTCTGGTTCCTTCAAAGCAGTGGCCCTCACTCGCGGCATTGCCGGCATGTTTTGCTGTGACCTTTTTCTGCCAAATTTTGAGCCTCCATGCTCTTTCACATCTATCTTGAGTGGGAAGGGCACTACTTTACACTGTCCTTGACACTGTTTTCATGTTCCAAGTAGTATAAACATGAGTGTGGATAGCTTGAGTTTCAGTGGCGATCAGCACTCTTTGCACCTGTGATGCCGCCCTCACACGAGCACTGTTGTGCACAGATGAATTCGCCAAACAGCTCTTTGCGTGTCCACTTAGTTAGAGTGATAAAACAGCGATGCTCATGAGACAAATCTGTACAAAGAGCAACAATTTGCCCTAACAAGCCTAAAATTACTCGCAAATATGGATAATTATGGATTAAACTTTTTTTTCTGAGCGCCGGTTCAGAAATGTTTTAACAGCGGCGGTGGACGGGCCACATAATGAGGGGGCTCCCCTCCCACTCTCCCACCCTCTCTCACCGAAGAGGTAGTGGTGGAGGCCTCTGCATGTACATAATAATTATATAACAAATTATTATAACATTTCTCGGTGTTCGGCACAAAGACCGAGTTCGATTGTGTGTGAGCCTGAGCGTGATGATGACCACCATATGAACAAGAATTGTATACTGCTGTTGCGAACGTTTGTGTTTTACTTACGCTACTCTCTGCCGTTGAGCATCTCAAATTTCACAGAAATACTGCCTGGGCAAAGACAATTCTCACCCGACTCTCATAATACTACATCGTATAAAATGCATTCCAAGGCAAACCTGTATTGCAAACACATATTGAGCAAAATAATGATTGTTAACACAGTAGCTGTGCATCAGCTTGGTTACTCGCGCAGTGGTAGTTACATGCAGATGACTGTTGTAGTTTTGACAGCAATCCATTTGTTAATGAGGGCAGTTCCACACGTTTGCATGCACATTCCAGACACTATACAGAGGTGGGTAATCATGAGTATTATCGGGAAGTGGATTTTATTTGGGCTTATGATTAAAATTAGGACCATAACTGAGATATTCATCATTCATCCTCCTCCTTAACGGAAAAATGCTAACAACCACGGTGGTGTCGGATGTACTAGGATGAACTGGATGTTTCATCCATGCTGGGATGGAAGGCGATGATGTGTTCAGTTGTATATACATCAAAACACGTTTATATTCGACAAATAATGCATGTTATAAATATATGAGTAATTACTTTCACTTACAACACTCATACGTATTATATGGGTGATTACGTTTTGACTGCGAGGTGTTTCTAATCTTTGGAACTGCCCAATAGAAAACGTTTCATACACCAATATACAAAACATTACACGAGAGTGGCCCCTGTGGCAAGGATGTGCAAATACAGCATCTTGTGAGAGTTTTGTGTAACAGAATCAATCACGCGAGACGCAAGGTAAAGGGGTAGAGATTACCTCGGGTATCAATTGAAAGAGAGCGTTGGAATACAGTGTCCCGATAGCCAAAGCTATGAAGTACATGAGCAGCCGGCGGTAGAATTTTTTCCTCATGAAGGGCACCACGCTTGCTCCCACCAGGGAGCACAGGGAGATGATGGTGACACACAGGAACCCATAGCCCCACACTGAGCACAGCAAGTCCCGCAGGGGGTCAGGAGGGCAAGGGTCACAATGACAATGGAAGAGGAAGTCAAAAGAATGGTTTCATGCAGTAGGAAAGCAAAGAGAATGGGAACAAGCTCACAGGGTCAGGGTACACGAAGCAGGGGTCATGAGCGTAGATAGAGTGGCACGGGACACGAGGCAGGGGTAGTGAGCGTTAGTTAGAGAGTGGCATGGTACACGAGGCAGGGGTCATGGGCGTGGTTAGAGGGAGGAGCAGGGAGGAGAATGAAGGGGGTCGTTATCACGCGGGTCATTGGTGGAGAGCGGGGGAGAGAAACAAAAACACCATTAATACATATGTAATGCTTCACCATAGCATGTCATCAATATATCATTTCAACAATCACTGATCCACTCTTACAAGCTGTATTGTGTATTGTACTGTGCAATTAACAGTCAAAGCTGGCTTACTCAAGTTTTTTTAGCTGTTAACTTCATAAAACCTGCAGCTTATATTGAAAAGCGACTTCACATTTGAGTACCAAAATAACCACGTGTGGCAATTGTGGCAGGGATCTTACGTCCCTAAACAATTGTGATTAATATCTGCACTTGGTCGCACTCAAAAGGAGGCGAGTTAAATACTCTTGCTACAGTAAACACACGTGGCTGTAACAGTGGATATGACGTTCTCGTTCGGTGCTAGCTTGATTTCGGGCTGGCAGTCACGGGCGCATGGGCATGGCACCTCTGGCAGTAGCTGCAAGGCGGCGTTAGAGAACAGGGTTCCAATGGCGAGCGCAATAAAGAAGGTGAGAATGCGGCCAAAATAGGGTTTCTTGGTGAAGGGGACGATAGCCACCCCCATCAAGGAGGCAAGGCTGATGAGCGTCACACTCAGCAGGCCAAAGCCCCACACTGCAAGCAACACACCGTGCCCAAAATCAGCAGGCTGCAAACCGCACTCACTCGCCGGCATGTACACGGTACACTATGGGCAACACAGCAACTCTCCACACAACGTAACGTGCATTTAAACATAGTAATATTAGTATTATCGTATGCATTTAACGTCCTGCCAACGCACTGTGAAATTTAAACAAAAACATCTGTTCAGCGTTGTTCTGGAGAATGTTAATAGCAATACAAATAATGCCGCCGTCCCACATTTGCCTCCATGTATAACATGATCATTCTTTACACATCCATTTGGCTGCACAACCTTCTGGGAGTGCAGCGTTGCTTCAGCACAAGCAAACTCTGCAATGAACTACGAATTGAATCAATACGGACAAAATCAGAAAGCCGTATTAACTTTTCGGTTGTGTAAAAGCATACCTTTATTTTGTTACGGTTGGAGACAAACATGGGAAGGAGGCGCTTTAATTCACCAAACAGAAACATCAGTCACATGAAGTGAATTTGTACGTTCGTCCCAAGCTAGGTTTGAAAACAATCATTTTGGACAAGTGAAACAATTAGCCTGGTGCAAACAAGATAACGGGACAGGAGGCAAATAAGACATTTATCCTCGATAAACTGTGCAACATTGCAGACCAACCAAAATATCACCATTTTTTTATACCATCAAATCATGTGGCAGCTGAACTATAAATAAACATTTAAAAGCCAGGAGTAACGGCAAAGTACAATATGAATCTATGTGTATGATGGTAATTATATAAATAATTAGAGAACACTCGAGTGCCGTGTGAGCGGCAGTGTTGAAGTGCTTTACAGACACCGGCTCGCTCCGTACGAGCGCATGTGCGACCGACGTCCCAGAAGCAGGGTCACAGCCTACAACGTTAGCCCCACTATGCACACCCATGCGTCCGTTGTGAGGCAGCATTGAAGGTGGTATTAGTTGCTTCTGTTTGTGTAATTTTGTGGTAGTACTTGGGATACAGTGATAATTGCTCTGACAGACCGAATTCCTAGAGGGCTGCTCCCTACTCACTCACATTACGATGCGGCATTCATTATATTTTTTGGTGTGTTTGTTAAAGAGCAAAATGGAGATGCCACACGTAGAGCTTCATTACCAAAAGGTTATTTCTCTTTTGGAGGTTACGTTGGTCCCTCGTCACGGTACAAATAACCACAATTCCCCAGGGTATTGGTCCATGACTGTAGCGTCTGTTAACCAGGAGCGTCGGGAGATCCGTATGGTCAAGCGCCTGGCACAGTGGCTGGCGAGCGAGCGTGACCATGACAGCAGGGTGAGCACGACGACATCTGTGCAAGAGGCGGCCAAAATCTGTACGTCCGGAGAACTCCTCCGCTCAAGCCACCACGACCGAGGAGGCATTGAAAGGTCATGATACGCAGCTCGTGCAAACGTGGTGAAAACACGCTTAGCTTCGAATTTAGAATCTGACTTCTCAGCCACGGTGCCGTTCACAGCTGCTGCCTCCGCTCAGTTTGCCAGGTAGGACCGAGCATTGGTAAATTCTTGTGTGGGATTTAACAGGAACAGTGTTCGCTGGATATTTGTCAATCATTAGTTACAGATTTAAGAAACCACAATGTAATAGAGTCCAATATATGCGATATAATTGTATTTGCCATGTAAAATCATGGAGATAATGTAATTCCAGATAATCTGTGGCATTTGTTTGCACTACCTGGATGTCTCCCATTTTGTCCAAGTGTCAAAACCAGGGCCCCGTGTGTTTTCTATGCCCTATTGGGCTGGTACGACCTGGGCGGCACGAGGTGGTGCAAGGCGCCACGGCCGCCGCTTGTAATCGTGCAGCCTTAACCTCGCGACGTTCGCAGAGGTATGCAGATGCACGCAAGCACCCGAGAGGAGAGTGGTGCTTGAGCAAGTGGGAGGAAAAGCCAGCACAAGGCACGCGTGTCGGTGTATGGAACCCACCTTCGGCAGGAGAGGGCTTATCAGTGGCCCGGTAGGCCGAGTCCGCAGAGGGCTCAGCACTACACACCTCACTGTCTGAGAGGGCTGGGCACAGCTCCTCAAGCCGCTGCTGGGAAAATCCGCTCTGATTGCTCAGACTGCTTAATGTGAGCATCTCCGCATGGGACAAACACTGCAGGGCAGACAGGGGAGAGCGAGAGGAGAGTGGTGCTTGAGTAACGTAGAGTTAGTGCAATAATAATGAGGATGTTTATTGACATGCTCGTCACTGGGACGACATGCATGGAACAGATGTTAATAGTTTGCTGTCACCACCACACATCCCTTTCTGCTGGGGCGCATGGAGAATAGGAAGGAGACAGTGCGATGTAGAGGATGTCAAACGACAAACACAACAAACTACAATTCGTTTGGCATTATCCTAAATAAATTAATTAAGTCTCACTTGGATGGCTTTTGCAGATCACAAGAGCAAAAGTGATCGTGCAATCATCGTGGTTAAAAATGCCCTTAGCTCAAGTTTATGAACGATGTTTTCTATTCAGTCCCGAATCCAATCCTTCTTGGTTGGGAAGATCAGTGCTTTGTGGTGTATACTCCCCGATACCAGTAAGACAGCATCATTAGCACCCACACACCCCCTATTACTGTCAAGAAGGTCATCTTTGACACACGGAGATGATGCAGGTACATATCACATCAGTGACTGTATAAAGATAAGACTACCCACTTGAAGGTGAGATATATCACTGCATATTAATTTAGTGCCACCCAACTGGTTTATTGCAGCTCATGCAAAAAAACATGGCCTCCACTACATTTGAGAAAATGGGTAACGCTTCAGTGATAGATTTGCTGAAATTCTTCTCTCAGCTCGCCATTCAAACGTCGTGTCCACACCAGTGGCCCATCACTTCAACAGCGGGGATTACAGCTCCAGTGACGCGCCAATGCATGGCCTCGTCCCGACCTCTGCTGGGAATGAGACCAGAAGAGGCTGCTCGCTACATTGTATTCAAACCGATATCGTTCAGCTGGCAGGACTGGACGAACGCCTCACCTTCACTTGATATGTAGCTTTATTATTGACAGATACATTTATCCCTTTCTCATTTCATATACTTTATTTCCATGTGGATAACTCAAATTTTATTTCTCAGATGTATCTGCCTCAGGAATCTAGGGGAGGTAAATTCCTTTGAGCTGGTGATTGGGCCTAGGAATACATTGCTCGGTGATCTAAATCACTATTTTCGTACTGTTTTTAGACTATGTTAAGCACCTTGAGCGAAGCTGCTCTATAAATATAAATAAGAATCATGCTTTGTCCTCACAAGAACAAATTCTTTCAATACAATGTGCCTGCAAAATATTATAATTGAACTTTTTTTGTTAATTACTTTTATTGATCCAACCACTGGGAGGGGGGTGTAAAACTTCCGCGACAGGTGAGTGGTGCATAACACAATCAACGTGGATATGTAGGACCATAGCGATATGTGGTACGTGCGTCAGATCCATTTTCTTGGGGGAAAGGGGAGGGGAGTCAGTCTCATTTTAAGTTCAATCAAGTAAACTTAGGGTCTCTGGAGTGGTATTCATGAGGGGGCCACAGATCTGGGTGAACTCCCCTTCCCTATTCCTCACTTTCAGACTCAGGTGTTCTAAAGCTGCTAGGGCGAATAGAATAATGCCAGAGGGTGAATGAGGGGGCCCCATGATTCTTCCAGGAGCTCAAGATGGTCTTTCTACACGAAATGTCAAATGCTTGGAGAAGGGTGTGTTGGTGCCTGGTGATACTTTGGGGTTAAAGACCCAGGAGGGAGGATTCAATGTTAGGTAGTATCTCGGTGCCAGACATCACGTTCTATAGATTGGTTATTTTGTCATAGAGTATCCTGATGGTGAGACAGTCCCAGAAGGCGTGAATGTATGTTTGTATGGTGCTCAGGGGGCACCTAGGGCAGTCTGGGGATATGGTCTGGGAGAATTTTGCCCTCCGTTGGTTAGTGAGATATGTGTCATGAACGACCTTGAATTGAATCGTCCTAAGAGGGAGGGATCGTAGACCTTGCCAGGGGTTGTGCCAAATTAGTTTCCAAGACTCTAATGGGATAGGGTGGCACACTGCACCCTCCCAAAGCGCTCTGGTATTTGGTCTCACCTCAGTAGGGCCCGGGAGTAGGAGTTGGTATGCCTCAGAGATTTTATAGTGGGCCCTCTCCTCCGTCAGCCACACCCATATCGGGGAGGGGATCTTTCAGAGGTCAACATCCCTTGCCTTGTTAATAGGGTGCCTGATCTGGAGAAATTTGAAAAAAATTGCTATTAGGGATGTTATATCGCTTTCTAATGTTTTGGAGAGTATTCATCCCCCGAGTCAGACGAGAGATCACCCAACCTCCCGATTCCGCTCTTTCAAAGCTGGCCAGCTGACCCCCTTGCCCCCAATTCTGAGGGATGAATGATCCCACATAGGGGGACAGTCGCTAGAGGCCAAAGGTGATAGTGATCAGTCTATTTCTCAGGATCCAGAGGGATGTGTTGATCGAGGATAGTGGTTTAAAATCTGAGGGCTTATCTTTTGGGTGCGAGTAGACTATCCCCTCAAGGCTCCAATGAGATACTATTGCCTCTTCCCACTTCTTTCAGGAACCCTGTCTGTTCTTGTTGAGCCAATGCTTAACCGTAAGGAGGCCTCCCAATAAGTATTACTTAGAAAAATCAGGTAGCGCCAGCCCACCGCATTTCTTTCCTTGAGTTAAGGTATGGTTGTCGTTCCTGGCCATTTTGTGGCCCCAGACAAAGGAACATACGAGGGAGCAGGGCTTATTGAGGAATTTCGGAGGCATCTTTGTCGGGATCATCCTGATGTGGTAGAAGGCCTTCAGAAGGGTAATCATTTTGACCAATAGGACCTGATTGGGGAGTGATAGCAGCATATCATCCCAAACAACTAGGGAGGCCTCAATCTCTAAAACAAGGGATGGGGGGCTAGGGGGGGAAGTTCTGTTTGAAGAGGTCTGCTAGGTTGGAAGTCATATTCACCCCAAGGTACTTGATTTGGGAGGGTCACCACCTGAAGGGGGAGACATTGGGTGGAGGTCTTCCTGAAATTAGGGACAGAGGCATGATTTCTGACTTTGTGGCGTTGAGTTCATAGCCGCAGACTGCATCGTACTCCATAATAATCTTCAGGAGGGCAGGTATTAAGGTGTCCAGTTTTGTGATTACCAGAACATCATCCGCATATAAATTTACTTTATTTTCGACTTGCCCATAGTGTATGCCTAATATCTCATGGCTACTTGGTATCCTGGCTGCCAGAGGCTCAATTGCAAAGAGAGGGGAAGGGGCATCCCTGTCTCGTGTCTCTAGTGAGGGGGAACCTCTCTGAGACAAACCCATTAGTAGTAACTGTCGCAGTCGGATGAGCATAAAAGAGTCTGCACATTTCAATTAACCGGGGGGGGGGGGGGGGGGGAAGGCTAGCCTCTACCTGATTGCAAGTCTTCTCCCCGTCTAGTGCAATGGGGTACGCTTACGTGATTGACCTGGAGGCAATATCAACTGAGTTGACCAGGGTTCGGATGTTGTCTGTGGGATCCCTGCCTTTGACGAACCCCGTCTGGGCAGGGCCGATGACCACCAGGGTTATAGCATACAGCTTATAGTCCATATTCAAGAGAGAAATGGGCCTGTAGCTCTTGGTCTGGTCTAAGGGGGATCCCCATTTATGTATGACGGTGATTGTCGCCTCTTCCATGGAGTCCAGGAGTTTCCCTTGTCTAACAGACTCGATGAAAGTGTCAAGGAGGTGTGTTAAGATCGGAGGGCCCAGGCTTCTGTAGAACTTCCATGGGAAGCCGTTGGAGCCTGGGGCCTTCCTTGCGGGGGAGGAACCCAGGTTCTCCAGGAGTTCAGGGAGCTGGATTAGAGGTTCCGAACCTTCCCTCCAATCCGGGTGGATATGGGATCGGGGAGGCTCAAGTAGGAATTGATCAATGTTGGGGCTCCATGAAAGGTCTGACCGGTACATGTCCTTTTAAAAGTTGCATAACTTCTCATTAACCTTCGCTTCCCTCGTCTTGAAGCGCCCATCGGCATCCTTGATCCCAGCAATGTGGTTACGAGTTTGCTTGCACTTGACCAGCTGGGCTAAGAGCTTGGTCGTGGAGAGAGAAGGGTCGTGAAACGTAAATCTGGCCCTCAAAGAGAAGGGAGGTTTGAGAATAGGGTTTCCCCTTTTTCTGGCAACAAAACAGGTGTTAAGATATTAAAACACCAAACTGAAACCTTTTACAAGAAATCGTGTGTGCATTAACCACAATACTTGTGGTCAAAATGCAAACAAAAACACTCTGATAGTATATGCATTGTTTTTTAAACTGATTGGTCCATATCAGAGACGGCTTTCTTTCGAGCCTCAAACATCGCCTCTCTGGGGTTGGTTAGCTGGACCCTGAGCTTGGCAGGGTATAGGAGCTGAGTCCTCACCCCTTCTCTCTTCCCCAGGTCCTTGTATAGACGGGGAGCAGCAGTGCCCGCTGCTTGGAGTCAGGTCCGGGGAAATGAAGGCCTGGGAACCCTGGATTTGTATGTTGTTAGCCTCCACTCTATTTATCAGGTGGATGAAGAGGGGCGAGGTTTAGCGGCTTGATTTGTCTCCATGTTGGCCGTGCTTTCCCTTCGACCCACTCAGAAAGCCTGGACTATGGCTTCAGGTGCCAGAGGGGGGATGTCCTGTAGTTGGATGTTCTTGAGTGCAGCTGGGAAATGGTTCCTGACATACACAAAGACCCCATTCCTTGCTCAAGCCCTCCACCCCTTCTGGAACTCCGAATATATTCAATTGGCTTTCCTTGTTTTTAGCCTCTAACTTAATGATTGCCTCTTCCAGAGCCTGGAGTTGGTCTCCCCTCCTATTATCGCTCACCACCAAATTCTCTGCCGTGACCTTCAAGGCCATGATAAACGCTTCCTGGAAGTATTTTCTCCCAATTTAGATCAAAGTTCTTGGAGGAGCTGAAGGACATCCCTATCCGTTTACTCAGGTCTTGGTTTGGACAGAGAGGAGAGGGGGGAGGAGGCTTTAGGCTTCTTCCCTAGGATGCAGTCTACTATTAGGCTCGAGGAGGAGCGAGTAGACTCAGGTTGTTGACAGAACAATTA